TAACTTGGAGCCTATACCCATGGCTCCAGTGTACTCTACAAGGATATAGGTGTATCAGTATTACAGTAACTTCACAAACTTTCCTGTCATTTGACTATACATGTAGATGTGGTACATGCTACACATACACCTCAGTATGTAAGTATGGGCATACTGCCCCAGTGTAATTCTAAGACCACCCCAAGAAACAGGCCTGCCCACCTGCTCCTGCCCTGCATACATGCTAAAAAAGTGTTGCATGCTTACTGTTTCCTGGCACAAAGCTTAGAATCACTCAGAAGTGAGGTAGTGTACACTTAGATGCTGTTTGGTTCTTAGTCAATACACAGTGAGCACATCTACACATGCACATTTACTGTGCAGTAACTGAAGTTACTGTGCAGTAACCAAAAATTACTGTGCAGTAACCGAAAATTACTGTGTAATACAGGTGGCATCTACACATGCATGCCTGTACTGCACAGTAAATATAGCATCTTACTATGACTTGGGCATAAATTTAATACCTGCATCATGCAGGTTACTGCGCAATAACACATGTGTAGACATGTTACTGCACAGTAGCACTGTGTGTGTGGACTGACTTGGAAATAACTTTAGTTCCAAGTCGGTCCACACACAGTGATACTGTGTTTTAATGCCTGCATATGTAGACACTGGCCTAAACCCACTGATTGCACAGTAACTTACTGTGCAGTAAATTTAATGTGGTATAAATGCACATGTAAACACACCTGGTGAGTAGATTAGGTCATCAGAGTTTTCTGGGTAAGCAGTAAAATAGTACAGATGGAAAGACCTGTTTCTGTCTTATGTATGCTATTGCTGCTCTTACCTAGTAGCGGGGTGCAGGTAGATGACAATATTGTAAGCCATGATGGTGCCACTCATTGGTGTTCTGTGATGTGGTGGTGATAGCTGCTTATAATAAGAAAAATGAAGACCATAGTCTATTATTTTTTTCTGAAATAATCATAACCTGCTATAACAGTGGTTTTCAAATTTTTTAGGCCAAAGAAAACTGGTCAGGGGGCTCAAGGAGCCCCCAGTGAGACTCAAGGAACCCCTTGGAAAATGCCAGCTCTTGGTTTTCACTCATTTTTTACTACAGAAAAAATAATAGAGCCATTTTTCTGTCACAAATAACTCAGAAAGCCTATGATAGGTCAGAATATTTTTGACACTACAGATTCCTATTTGAAATCTCTGGGTCTTGCACATGATGTGTGGGTGTTTCCATACCTAACAGTGTTAATATTGTGAAACACCCTTAAAAGGTTCTTGCAGCACCCTGGTTGAGAATCACTGTGCTACATTTTCAATCCTTAACTGCCATTATGTATTTCTAAAGTTATCTTTGCAAAGAAAAGGGCAAGTGATTTGCCACCCTCCACTGACGGCTTCTGCAGGCAGTTGCCACCCCACCAACGCTGCCACTGGCTTCTACAGGTGGTTGCCCCCCCCGGCCCCTGACCTCACACAGGCTGATATGCCCCAGACCCTGCATACCCCTAGGGATGACTCTGTCCATGTTGACAACCCCTGGTATATGGCAGCATTTTAAAGTGTAGCTTGGTCTCTTCAGAACAATTAATACTAAAAAATAAAGAACAACAAAACAGTACTAATTCAAAGTTTTTAGAATAAAGCCAATAGAAAGGCTTCACTAAAAACATTAAAATCCTTCTCTTTCTACAGAACGAGCATGAGGAATTTGAACTGGATAGCCACCTCTTTGATAAAGTGAGAGGAGAAATCAGATCAAGAGAAAGTTATTTCTTTAGTTTTAAAAGCACTTCCATGGCTCCATAATTTACAGCCAAACTCAAACTTAATGCTCTTTATTAGCTAGCCCTCTAAGGATGCAAAAAAATGCACCTGGTATCTAGCAAAATTGCTGATGGTTATACCCCTCAAAGAGGTGTTTATTCACAGTTGAAAGAAAGAAAGAAATGTCACTCATTCAGTTTCACAAGACGGTAAGGTGAGATGTAAAGCTGTGGAAGGTAAAAAGGTAGAATAGAAGCAGGAAAAAATATTTAAGGCAAATGGAGGCCTGGAGTAGCTTATCAAGGCAGGTGCACTATCACAGTGGATATTCTTGAGCATCCAAATAAGGCACCATTACAATGAATGTTCTAGGGTAGGCTGGGTAAGACTATTCCTTCTTGGGGTTCCCCAGCTGGCACTGGAGGGTGCGGTGGATGAATTGGAGCCCCCCCCCCTTGGGGGAGACTCCAGTACATTCTCCCCACCCTCCAACAGGGACTGAAAGAACCCCAGACCAAACCCCCTCCCTTACCCCCTCCCATACTGAAAACAGCAACAGGCTGAGAGGCAGCATGAGCACAAATTACAGAAGATGCTCCATTTCAAACATCCTCATTGGACACTTTCATGCAATGAGGATTCAGATTTTCACCCAATCAGCCATTTTTTAAGCTGTCTGCCGCTGTGCACTTGTGTTTGGTCATGACTATAGAATGCTTTCTGTGGTCAGATAAAAATTGCATGGGGCTGTGCGAAGATTTTGTGCTTTTAATTCTTAGGGCATTGTAAAACTTCTTTTGTAACAGATTTGCAAAGGTTTTGTGAAAATGCCAGTACTCACTGCCGGCATTATAAACTTGAAACTTTTCACTAACATTCTCCGTTAAAGTATATGTAAATAAGCAACAGCAGGGCAAGATGTGTAACCATCTGATAGACTATGTGCTTTATGATTCCCTAACAGGTCATGCAGATGGATCAAAAGCTTGATGACATCCTGATTGCTCTCCAAACTCAGTTTGACACGTGGTTGCCGACACGGACATCAGCCCCAGCCACCCCAACCACTAGACATTTACAGTCATCCTTGGATTCCCCCCCTCTAACCTGGAAAATGTAAAAGCCATGAGGCAACAGCTTGCTGCCCTCTCATTCATTTAAGTATGGTTATTTTTATTATTAGTGTCTGGAACTTCTGAGACCATCATTGCTGGAATGTAAATATTCTGCTGCAGGTTGTTAAATCAAAAGGAAAAACATGATTATGCTTCTGTGAGAAAACCTAACCTTTGTGCACAGAACCATAGCAATGCTGAGAGAATCCTCCAGCCCATGGGACTCTAATAATGCTGTAGTATTTAACTGGCAATGCACACACAGAGCACTGAGTTGAGGTGGAAATCTAAGTCATAAGACAACTCATCCAGAGGTAGGAATGAAGGAGGGACTGTCTTTTCAGTATTCAATCTTCTGTTCTCACTAGTTTATTGTGCATAGCATACCCAAGCAGGGAGAGGGGACCAATACTGGAACACAAAACAAATGAAAATCAATCAAAAGGAAAATTGAACAGCATGTTTTGCAGTAAAAATAAGTACCAACCAGCAAGGATCATGAAAAGGGCACTGCTAATGTGAATGACAAAATAAAGACAATAGACTGCTGCTTAAAAATATGAACATGTAGACAGACTGGCTGATATAGGGAAGACTGAAGCAAGCTCTCAGCTAATTAAAGTCAAAGGTTTGCAAATGAGATGGGATGCACGTTGGAACAGTCAGATACAGGAAACAATACCAGCTTAGAATAACAACAGAAGAACATTTCAATAGTTATCACCTGCACTGATGGTTGTTATGCAACATATTTTCAAACTTTTACTTTCATTAACTGATGACTGTTAATTCCAGTTGCCTTATTTTTAATATAAGACACCAGGATAATAACTGTATATATAAGAATCTGGAAACTACCCATTCAATGCCTCAGCTGATGCTGGGCAGCTGTGAGCTGAAGTTGTGACTTTGAATGACCACATTTGAATGCACATACAGTTGATAAAAGCTAGTCACTTTGCTAGTATACTATTTGCTGTCTATAATTTAAAATGCTGAGTTTTCATGGAATGTGATTGCAAATTGACTATATGTATTATCTGAAGCATTGTTTCTGTGAAATGTTACTGACATGAGCAATTTTCAAACATAAGAAATTGATTCTTTCCTTGCTCTCCAGAAAAGGGATGATGCATCATTATTGTTAAAATACGTAAATAATAAACCTAAATAAAAAGGGTATATTGCTATTTACTGAAGCCCTTATATTTGCCCTCATATTATGCAAATAAATACCTCCTGCACCACCTCCAAATATATATTTGCATAATCAAGGGTCTGAATGAACAAGTGTTGCTGGAATTAGGAGTCCACAGAGCTAGGGCCTCATTCTGTAAGGGGATAAGTACCTTCCAGCACCACTGAAATCCATGGAGACTGAAAGTGTTTAGCACTTACCAGGGTGAATTTGGCATCTTATAAGATTGGGTCTTTAATAGACCTGTGCGAAGTGGCTAGTATTCACTTCAGATTCGGATTCCGCCGGTTCGGGGGACAGTGATTCAATTCAGTTATTCGAATCACTATCCCAAATCAATTCGGCCCAATTTAATTTGGAGATTCAGCTGCTGCTGAATCAGCTGAATCTTTGAATTACGCAGGCCCCACCCGTGCCCACTCTCCCAGCCCCACCCGGCCCCAGGTCCCGGCTATTTGGAAAAAAAAATCCCCTACTCACGAGATCCTGCCCAGCGGGGGTGATCCCTGCTGCCCCCCCGCTGCTTCACGCCACATGGGCGGGCTCTGCCATGAGCTCCCCAACCCCCGCCTGCTCTCCCAGCCCCACCGCCATGGCTGCCCTGCCCGCCCCAGCTCCCAGCCCTTTAAAAAAAAAACAAAAAAAACCCAAGATTCACCAGCTGCTGCCAGGCAGGGGGGCGATCCCCACTGCCCCCCACTGCCTTGTGCTGCATGAGGGGCTCTGCCACAAGGCCCTAGAAGC